CTTGTCATTTACTAAATTAGGCATGAATTTCACCCCTAATGACTTTCAAACTTTTTTCAAATGAATGGCCAAATGAATTTTGTTCATTTACTGGACCATGTTTAGGTACGAAGCCAACAGAGTGGAAATAAAAACCGTACTAAAACACATGTTGTTTTTTAATTTTCGTCTAGCAAACAAACAATGTATTATCCATTATGCATACCACAATATAAAAGTCATATACTCAAATAAAATAAGATTTATAAAGTTTTTTGGGGGAGTCAAAATTTCATGGGGAGAGTCACATTTTCATTATGAAAATTTGACCGGGAGTCACATTTTCATTATATAAATCTGACTGTGGAGTCACATTTTGGGTCAGATTTTCATGGTACACCGGTATATATATTTTTCAAGCGTCCGTGTTATCGGCGACCCGATCTTTCATGAAAGATGTAGGCAAAGGGTGAAACAGCCAACAGTGTGGAGATAAAGACGGCCCTAAAAGAAATTTGTTTTAAAAAGAGAATATATTATAACCTTATCAATTTTTCTAAGAATTGATTATTTAGTCTTTTTATTTAGGAAGCGCGTTTATTTAGAAGCTCTGTAAAGCTTTCTTGTTACATATAAAAGGTGCACACATTTAGTTTGAAATATTAGAATTTTACCGCCTTGTTCTTTTCATGCTATTAAGTCACTTGATTTTTTTAATCTGTAATATAAGTAATATATCGATTTGATAAACGATTGATTTTGTTAATTAAAGAATGATACAACTACCCGCAATTTTTGTGAATCTACAACAAGATCAAATGTTTGTTTAAGTCAGAAAGCAAACATGTATTTAAGATTCACATTTTATTGATTTCATTCAACTAACCACATTGATAGATGTATTAGGGGCGAAAGCAAATTTTTTGTTAAATGCTCTTCAAATAGCTCTTCTTCAGTTCTTTGCAAACTTGAAGGGGGCAGCACTGAGTTCGGCTCTGTCGATGTAGTCATCATCTTGGAAAAAATAACAAAAAAAAAAAAAATAAATAAATATATATGCATATCGATTGGAATGTTTTCTTTTTCAATATCCTTGGATAGTATAAAGGTGAATGCCTACTGGCATTACAGTATACTGCTGCAGAAAAATATTGATAACATCCATCTGTAAAGTAAATCTGTAAAGTAACAGTAAAGTATAAGATTATCAAAGTAAATTAATACATGTAATTTTGTTCATAAAACTTTGGGCCCGTACACAATTGATTTATTGTCCTAGCTCCACGGGGTCTCTCGCTGAACAGACTAACACGCCTCCTTTTGTTTCCAACATTCTCGTATAATTTCTAGCAGGAGGGGGCGGTTTGGGCTGTCAATCTGCTTGCATTTAGCGAGGGTACCTTTGGAATCAGTGCGCAGTAGCTTGAGTGACTAGTTCATTGTAAACAGGCCCTAAACCAAACCTGTTGGAATCTTGCAGATTCTAAATAAACGTTATTTTATACGTGTGTCTTTTCATAAAATTGCTCTACATTGTTTGAAAGTCTGAAAGCGAATTCCTTGTGAGGGGATTTGAACAATATGGACATTCTGCAATAATTGCTACAAATGGGGAAGTTAAGACCAACAGCAGTCACGTATAGCACCAGGACGCATTGTCCCTCTGTTTCTTGGCCCACTTACCGTTTGTGTCGGCCAAATGGAAAGCTTTCAATGCTGCAACGTCTTTCAACTCAGCATTGATGGCATTGACAAATTCTCTATGAGTGATGAGACCATCTCTGTTGGTGTCATACTCGTTAAAATGTCTTGGGAATTCACCCTCCCAGTGAGCAACCTGCAAACCAGAGAACCAGCTGAAAGTTTGATTTAGGTGCAGAATCTCAAATTAATGGGACTGTGGGGCAATGAACTACCACTTAAAACCGTCTATTTAGTTTATGCCCTTAACACTAAAATGAAAAACAACTGGCATGCCTTTGTTACTTGGAGGCCGCCTCTCACAAACAATAAAATTTTTCCAGTAAAAAAGCAAGAATCCATTAACTTTGTGATAATAACCTTTGGCATACGAAGAACCATTTATTGTAAATCAGCATATTACGGCACTATATATATATATATATATATATATATATATATATATATATATATATGGTGAACATTTTAGTGGATTCGGTTTTTGACCTAGGTATGACGACAACTTTACGGTATGCAAGAATGCGGCACGGATCTTGAATAGCAGTCAGGAGCATCAAAGAATCGTCATGGGAGACGTAATAATATTGTTGAGTGGATATTGAAGGTGTGGGCCTGTCAGTCATTAAACACTTACGACCACCCATGTATGTGGTGCATCACGTTTGCCGAAGAGACCGCCGAGCCAGTTCACCACTTTATCGCCCAGGTCGCACACCTTGTCACAGCTCGTGCCACAGACTACGCCGCCGACGGCTCCAGCTGCAGCGGCCGCGGTACCTCCACTGAGCGCAGCGCCGGCTGCGGTGGCGCCAGATTTGCACAGAGGACTGCAGACGTCTTCACAAATCCCTGCGCTGGCGTACGCCACACAAGCAACCAAAAGGATGAAAACTTTCATGGCGTTATCGTTCTAGTTGATGATAAATAAATACATACATAGGGAAGGATAGTATCATATTTTGGTTACAGTTACATCAAACATATCAATATGCAAACAATTATGAAGAATTTTACAACACAATTAATGTCATAAATGTATGTTGTACTACAAGGCATATAATGAGCAATAGGCCTTTATACAATAAAAAAAGTTTTACCATATCCAAAAACGTGGACAAATTCACGATCCATGTTAACCAGCTTTTGAGTTCGAAGTTTTCTGATTAAGTTTATTTAAGTTGCTTAAATATAAATATATATAATTTTACGACATAAGATTTACAATATGCACCTTACGAAATTCACATTAGTAGCTAATTTAAAAAAAACTTTTTTTTTACTCTACCCAAAAAAACCAACACCTATCAGAAATTCTCCACTGTCAGATTAATACCTCATTACATGATATTACGTGGTTCACAAATAAATCGGTGAAAAACCGATAAATCCTTTTTCTTATTGTTTTAGATTACTTACTCTATGCGGGCTCTTCGTAGACGGGAGTCACTACTTCTCTATCTAAGTCCTCATTTTTATATGAACACCAACAGAGACTCAGTCAGTGGTTATGCACATTCCGATCCAACGTTTGTACTGTGATGGACCCGAAGCTGGATGAATAAAAACGTCTTCTGTCAAGATGCAAACGTCCCACGACCACGCGTATGTAACGCTTAAGAAACGGATGCAACCCTGACCTTCTGAGGTCAAATACATGTTAGTTTTACAAGATTTATTGAAGAGCTGCCCGTTGTAATTAACTTTCCTAATACACCCAATGGTCATCAAAATACGAGAATTCGCCTTATCAATCAATTATTTTTCAATGTAGGTGTTGTCATCTATTTTCGAATATTACATCACTTTTATCAATAATTAAAATTGTTTATTATAGGTGATATTTGTGTAAACTGGCGCGTCTCAACATTTCTAAAGTTTATTCATCCGAAGATTCATTGGTACAAAAAGAATGGAAAAGTCCCTTCAAATAAGAATGGATTTGAAGGCACGTTAGACCAAAGATGTTCTTATCTGAGAGCCGACTGAGTTCCATTAAAAAATTTTCTTTGGACATCATCTCTAGTGGATACTATTCCTTCTTCATGGATTTTGTCATTGAGTCACTAGATCTAAATACTCTGAAAAATATCGAAAGATTCAGACAAAAGAACTATGGGGCCACGGAACCAGTCATAGGGACCATTCAGATTGAGAAGAGCCGAGTGCTAGTAAGGCCGCGACCTAAATATGGCAGACCTACATGAAAGGAAAACCGCTAACCCTGTAATTGTAATTGTAAATGTATCATTAAAATTTTGGACTATAGAGGCACACCCTAAGCAAAGACCATTTCGAAGTTTGGAATATTGATTAAGCTGTATTTCAAAAACCTTGCAAACAAGGGTCTAATTACCCTAAAAACTACACAGGTGTGATGAAGCTGTTGGGTTTATCTTTTGCTGTTACATGAGGTAATAAATACAATTATATATTTTCATGTCATTTATTAACTACTTTCCAGTTGATTCCGGTGCCCCTTCTATTTATTTCTCTTTCCACTTCTTTCAATATCTAGTGGCCTTCTCTCTTTGACATTACCCGCAGTTGTATTAGTATTATGACAAAAACACTATCCGCTCCTTTCTCACTTTCTCCTCGCTCCTTTCTCGTTTCTAACATTACACAAGCTTCAAATCCACAAAAACTTTCAGCAAACTATCATGGGTTGTTATACTGCAGTTTCGTTAGTTTGTGGCATCACTTTTAAAGCGTATTTTGAAAAAATAAAAAACCCTGCAAACTAAAACGACATTCCTGAGTCTCAAGATTTGCTCTTTTTTTTTTTACCTAAATACTGGGTGCTACAACAGACCAATGCATTAGAATCCGGAGATCATAAATCCGGGCGCTTGCCTTTATGAATTCATTCTCAAATTTATCAAAATATTATAATTTGACTTTAATGTACAGTGTGACCATGATTATGCCCTGCACTGCTAGGAAAATTGATTTTGCATTGGGCCGAGAACGAGGCAGTATAAAGGAGGGCCACCATTTAAGAGCCTCCAAAGCACCTCATTTTTTCATATTAAATCTCGGTAGTATTATGGAAGATATTATTGACTATAAAGAAATGGAGTTAGAGGCAACGTCATGTGTACCTTATACAATATTAGTATACAGTGAAATTTTGTTTATTATGACTGATAATTTTTTGAAAAAATGATTTGAAGTTGGTTGAGTTATTTTCATCCTCCCTATCATAACACGAGAGTGATAAAAGGACCGTCTTGAAAGAAAGTTACCCCCCCCCCCCCAGAACAGCTCTCAAAGCCCAAAGTGATTATCGATGTATCTTAAATAAAACATGTATGTTAAACAAAACACCTTTATTATCTGTGATGAAATACAGTCAGCCAAAATAGAAAAAAAAAAAAAAAAGGAATTGCTGATGTTCATTGTCCCGCATTTCATGGCCCAAAGCGGAATGGAGCGGCTCTGAGTTCTGCAGGACTAATGTGGTCGTCACCTGGAAGGACAAAGAAATGATTCAGTTGATTACAGTAATCAATGTTTAACAGAAATAAATGAAACTATAGACATATTTGATAAGCGCGTTTTTAAGGCAAATGTAATAACTTAAGTTAATGATACACCTATTGTTTGGCCACCAGACGTGCTTTTCCAGATCTTATACTGATCTACGGTGCGTCCCGAAAAGATGAAAAATTGAGGCGGAATATTCACTAGAAATGACCAAACAGTTTTGGGTCTGAAAGTTTACATATCCGAAGGCGCTTTAGTGTTTTTTAACTCAAAAGCCAGCGAAGGAGTCATTCTAGTTACAAAGCATCATATGTGAAACCGTTCTTGTCCTAAGCTAGCAATTTTCTTTGGACTTCACAATGATGTCGTTTCTCCAAATTAATCTCTGATTCGGCGAACCTATCAAGAACTATCTGGCCTTCAAAACACGGGGAAAGAGTGTGGGCGATTTGAAAGGTGGGCGTAGTGACCGCACTACTTTACAGGACACATGTGGTTTCTTCTCACAGAAAGCGTGACTTGGGTGTGATATCTTTATCCCATGGCAGCCACGCGAACAGAATCGTGACATGCCATTCTGATTACCAGACACACTGGCTTTAATGAACCCAGCAGAGGAATGGGAATTGTGATTGATACAAAAATATCAATAAATTTCAACACCTCCAACCTCAATACAACTGTGAGTATTTACTCATGAAGTAAAGTAAAAAAAGCATGTCTGGTTCTTGCATACCGCACTACACTGCGTCTTAGTGCGGTTTACAGAAATATGCCTGGCATATCTGTTTGGCCCTGATTCAGATTGGGTGTCGTCGTTCTCACCTCCTTGATGAGGTACAACAAAATATGGCCAAAACAATTTCCCTCTTCCAGGGCCACAGATGAAATTATGCTTACAAGATATTCACAGATATTACTCTGCCAAATCACTGGTTGTGCATATTCAGCGAGGTGCTTTTTTTTTTCAAAGCGGGTCTAGTTCCTTATTTTGACCTTTTAATTCAGTAGTCAGGGTTCTGTGTTCTACTCACCGTCCAAGTCGGCCATCTTGAACACTCTCAGTGTCTGCAGGTCTCTCACTTCAGCACTGATGGCGTTGACAAACTCTCTGTGAGAGATAAGGCCATCTTTGTTGGTGTCGTAAGCAGAGAAGGCACGTGGAAAGACAGATTCCCAGGTCCTGACCTATATATAGAAATGACGTAATTAAATTGAATAAATAGATGAAAAGCACAATCAATTCTAGAAGAAAGCATTTAACGGGGTTTTTTTATCCAGGTAGAATTGTACTAGCAGGACCAATAAACAGTTTTCACTGAACGAAGTAAATACATGTGCCCACAACAAGATGCACTAAATATACATACATGTTGTTGTGCATGTTTAAAATAAAACAAATATAATAAATTGTTTGGAACACTCCTAATGAGGAATGCTTTACGGTGTCAGAGACCGAGACGTGATTTCTCGTGGCGCTTAATTGTCGAAAAAAAAATCAGCAAAAGTTATATTTTAATACTAAAAATAAAACCACGTATTAAAATACGTTAATTTCACTAAACAATATTAATGAAAGACCTATTAGAGATCAGGAAAAGATAAGAATCTACCGTTCGAAACAAAAAGACACTGCATCCAATGCCAAAAAAAAATTACCGAAAAACATTATACTGAAATTTCACTTTGATGGAATTTTGCTGAAAAAAATATACTAAAAAATACACTGTGCCAAAGATTATACTGAAATTGAATTATACTGAAAAAAAAAAAAAAAAAGAGTCCAAACTCACCGTGACCCATCCCTCATTGAGGTCGCGTTTGCCGAAGAGACCGCCGACCCAGTCCACCACTTTACCGCCCAGGTCACACACCGTGCTGCAGCTTGGGCCGCAGACAACGGTTCCAGCGGCGCCAGCAGCAGCGGCCGCGGTGCCTCCACTGATCGCAGCGCCGGCTGCCGTGGCGCCAGTTTTGCACAGAGGACTGCACACGTCCTCACAAATACCTGCGCTGGCGTACGCCACACAAGCAACCAAAAGGATGAAAACCTTCATGATGATACGTCCTAAAACATTTTTATGATGATACCATTAACATTAACGCGACAAACAAAACACAAAGAGGGGTTTGTATATATATATATATATATATATATATATATATATATATATATATATATATAAACAAAAAGAAAAAAAAACGCAAAATCGGGTATTTAACATTTCAAAGCTCGTTTTAATTTGGTTGAGAAATTTGAGTAAATTGAATGGAAGGGTTTATATTCACTTTGGGTATAAAAGGAAAAATAACGTAAAAAACGTTCACACCTGACTTGCGACTGTTAGAAGAAAGATATTTGGCCCAGCCCCACAAATATGTTACAAAAGAAAATACTGTAATATTTAATGTTCATTAACACTGGTGTATGAATTTTGAGATGTCTTTCAAATATTGCCAAGCCTTTGTAGGGGTGGTGAGCGTGAACAAAAACTAAGTGGTCAAAAGTAGCAGGTGTAGCAGGGGCGTTATGGCGCCTAGGATTCTGCGCCTTAAAATTTATGTGTCACAAATCTGTGAACTAGATGTTCGAACAAAGGCAAACATGCGTTGATAGCCTATATAGCCGATTTTTATCTTTTTTGTTTGCATTGTTGAACGATTCAGTTTTTGACCTTATCATCGAACTCGTCATTGTTACATTTTGGAAACAAAATCAATGTGCAATTCAAAAATGGAAGAAAAGGTGTAAAAAGCTGCATACAATGTATCAAGACTGAGCAGCAAAGCAGACAAATATACAAACACCCTACAACAAAAACATTTCAACAATATTTAGAAAAATATTTAGTAAAAAAAAAAATAATCCGATCATCTCCACTGTCAAAAGGCAGCTTTTTTTTTCTTAAAAATGTCACTGAGCAAATATGAAGTAAATCCAAAATACAGTTCGGCACTTACAGGATGTAAGTTGTCAAAATACATCGAGCACCACAAATAAGGTCAATACTTTTCGTAAAATTAATCCAAAAATGCTTATTTTCAAAAGAAATTTTTTAATCATACAATGCTACTAATTAAATTTACAGAAAAACGAAAAAAAAAAAGGTTTGACAGTTAATTATCAGGACATTTGGAAGGCGACAAACCCAGTGATCAATATATATAGATATTCATACCGTTTGTATATGATTACACTCATTACTGGTCATAGATAATGTTCAACAAGAATATTTCGTTGAACTTGATTCAGACAAAAAATGCTACAATTTAAGAGAATACACGCGATACACTGCAGCTGCAGTCGTATTACTGCGCCTCTGGAAAAAAGAACGCTGCCCCGATTCACTTACCTTCACTGCGAAATGCTGAAAGCTACTGGACAGTAATACAGTGCACTATTTATAAGTGACACCAGTCAGTGGACAAGGATTATTCCGATCCAGGTGTCACGATTTTCATGGTGAAACAGAGGTTAATCCTTATAATAAATGTACATGTTAATTCCAGCATTTGTCCATTTCAGACCAAACATCCAAATTTGAAAACACTAGCCGAATTATAAACTCACTCATAAAGATTGCGTTTGTTTGGTAGCGAATTCATGTGGCTAATCATTGTTTTCAGATAATAATGGCCGTTTTCACAAGTGAATGGTAAGATTCTTATTAAACGACCTGGCATGCACTTGGGACGAGTTCCATAATCTCCACAGTTGACGACGCAGCTTAGGGTAGCATGACCGCGTATATTGTGACTTAATTTGAAAGTCGACTTTTTTTCGAATTTTAAGCGTCTGCCCAATTTGAAAAAAAAATTCTTTAAAGCAACAGGTGAACTTCTGTTAGAATGGGTTTCTTAATGAGCTTAAGTAATGTAATTCAACAAAGTAAGGCTGACGAACATATGGTAAACGATAACTCTATTAATGCCGTTTAATTCTAACTTTTTAAAGGTTTCACAAGGAGTACTTTCATGCTTTCAGAATACGTCAAAGGAAAATACTGCGCTGCATTTCTCTCAACCGAACCTTTTAAAGGTTTTAAAGGCTATTTAAAAATAACACTGTCAACATAAAATATAACATTATTATTTTTACCATTAAACAACACATGCAACAAGACAACGAGCTATTATAGGTCCTTTCAAGTGTTTACATTGTCAGAGTAGAAAACAAGACAAAACTAAATGTAACAAATTTTAACTTAACACACAGATATCACTTGACTTACACATACTTATTTCAATCAATTGACATAAACCTTAAAATGAAGGAACAAATAAGTTTGTAACCTGGGTACATCAAAAAGCAATAAACAAACAAACAAACAAATAAATAAATAGGATTTCTTATAGCATTTAGCTAAACCATTACCCACCTAGCTTTGTGCAACTACGTTGATGAGAGATAAAAGGTTCATATGTCTATCGTGGTACGTGGTATAATAATCAAGAAAACATATGCTGTTTTTTTAATCGTTATGGATTATTGAAAAAAAAAAAAAAAAAACGATAACCTGTCTTTAGTGTAAAGGATTTCATCAGAAAAAATTAATGATCCCGCTATACATTCTGGACCAATGCCTCATATATCAACATTTTACATCAGTAAAGCTCTAGATATGTTAATGCGTCATTTCAACAATTTAATATCAAAATGTACAAAGCTGATAAAAAAATTCTGCCCATAGTTTTACAATGACCAGTGAATCAAAGAGGAGATTTTACTTAACTTGAAAACTGACCACAACATTGGACAAAGACAAAATAAAATGCAGTTTTAAGGCCTGTCCCTCAAAATGACTGGTTAGATGACTGTCCTTCCATATTGAATTATCACAGTGCAGTATTGACCATTCATTATCTGGTTTTCAAGACTGCCTAAACACAGCACAGAAGGCACTCTCATCCCAGATTAGCCAATCCCATAACAGCAGTAAGTAATATCCTCCCAGATTAAAGGCATAATAACTCTTTGTATGAGACCTATATTTCACAATAAAAACCTTGTGAATAACTCACAGAAATATAATATATTCTGTTTTACAACAAAAACAGCAGCTATAGCTTTTATTCTGATATTTGAACTTGTCTTTAGACCACGTGACCTCCATTGATGTCTATACTTTGTTAAAATCTCTTAAGAGATTTTAACAAAAAACCAAACTTTTTAGAAAAAAACCAGGGACTAACTTTGAATGTAAAAATGGATTCATTAACCATTGGTAAGTATGGGAAAATTGTTGTTTACTCCAGGAAAATTCATTTTTTGGCCGAAACGAGGAGTTATTATTGCTTTAATTGATCAAAACCCAATACAGGAGGACTGACCACAGCAGCATCGAACGACCATTATCCCAGACTGACCAATCAAAAAGCAGCATTAATGGACCGTCATCCCAGAATGACCGATCACAAAGCAGCATTAATGGACCATCATCCCAGACTGACCAATCACAAGGCAGCATTGACGGACTGTCATCCTAGACTGACCAATCACAAAGCAGCATTAATGGACTGCCCTCCTTCTTGCATGACTGATATATTGCATTCAGAGTACGCCATTCCTGCTCCAGCTCTGCATACCTGGGTACTAGCTACAGCTTCCCAGCTAAAACAAAATCAAAATAGTATTAAATGTGGATGAAATGGATCAAATGCACATATCAACAATAATTGTAACTTTGAACTTGCATATATGGTATGGTTATTTTCAAACTGGTTCGATGTTGTATATAATGTTTTAGTAAGCTCTAATACAACTATTTTCTTAAAGTCTATAAACTGTCAACTGTGTTGTTTATTTTCCAATTTAAAAGATTCAAACTCCCTTCATATAACACAAGAGAATACATTACAAAATACAATTTCAAACATTATTATTTGTGCAGAATGATAAGCTGATAAATTTTGTGAAACATTTAGTATCAAGCAGAAGGAACTGTGCATGCATGTAATTTTTAATAAATGTTAGGGCCACTATGCAGAACAGGTGTTGCTGTGGAATCAAGTGATAAGCTAGGTCTGAAAACAATAATCAAGCAATGTATAATAAAATGTGTGGTCTTTGGATGCTGGTTGGCTGGCCACTTTCCAAACTGACCAATTAACAAGCCAAGGTTCTGACCTAATAGAACCAGCAGCAGAAAATGGTCCTAGTTTACAAAATGTTAGAAGATGGGGAAGAAATAAAGGAAAAAATCTACAACCTAAACACCAGCTTGGCTGCACCGAGGTACAAACTGCCAAAAAAGCATTTTGCCTATAATATTGTTTGATGTGACTGAGGGCACACTCAGATCAAGTTGATCCGGGGACTTACAGATTTGCGGATCAGATATGGCCAAAACACTTAAAGGCAATGTCAGCAAATCCCCCAATGGACTCCCAGTCTCTCACACGCACCACCCCTGCAAGGCACAGCAATTAAAAGCTCAGATCACAGTGGAGCTTTTAATTGGGTCGGCCATATCTGATCCATGGATCTGTTAGTACGGGGATCAACTTGTTCTGAAAGCACCCTAATTCACTTCTAGTTAAGAAAGAAAAATGTTTGCAGCTTTTATCTAAATTTTCAGCATTCTCCACAAAATTTCAATTATATACTGTTAATGAATGACAAAACTTAAAGCTGCAGTACATTGACTTTAACTACTGGTAAATATTTTTAAAATTTTTATATTATAATCATCATAAAAACTATCTTCCATTGAATCTGATCAACTAGTTAAAGAGAAAAACACTCAGATCATACACAGATCAAACAGAAAAAAAATCTCTCAACTTTTTCAATGAAAAATCATTATTGACAACATTAAGTGCAAATCTTATGCAATTATAATATGCAATTATTATAACCCTTTGCATGTACAAAAAAAAAAAAAAAAATTAAAAACAGGCAAATACATACATTGTTATATTTCATGCATTATTTAACAGCATCTTAAGAAGCAAGATTTTGAAGCTGACCATTTCACTAAAAACATCAATTAAAAATACTGTTATTAGCTTCACAGTGAACAATAAGCATAGGAGTATATACGTACACAATAAAAACAGCCTACTACTTGAAATAATTAATTACTGTAATAGCTGGTATCAACAGTGGTAGACATGGAAAAGATGGATAGATAGCTATGCTACTAAATGCAGATAAACCACTTGCTATTAAATAAAATATTTTGCTCCTGAAAACACTACACATACAAGGAATGTATTATAATTATTAATTATATTAACAAAAAAAAAAAAAAAAAAAAAAATTTTTTAATTCGGCAATTTGCCTTTAATCACTGAGGTCAACCCTATTGTTTCCTGAAGAGTATACCTTGGTGTTTTAGAGAAAAGTTGTTGAAATTATTGAGTCCACTAAGCGTGCCCCTTTGTCATCTTTAGCATGAACCACCCTTTCCATGTCTAATTTGAAGCAATAATGTACACAGGGTTTTCATTAGGTCAGCTCTGTGCTAACTTTTAAGGGTCCTTGATGCACTTTCATGAAACAAATAGGAAATATCAAAATAAATATACAAGAATTTTGTAGTGACTGGGAAATAACCAAATTTTTTCAGCTTTTGTCAGAGAAAAAAAAAAAAAAAATACACCAAGTTCCCATCATTGAAACCCTGGTACATAAATGGCAGAGTCTACTTAACAAAGGTTATGAACAGTGAAGAAGAAGGAATGCATGCTTTTTTTTAAACTAATGCCACAGCCCCTTGTACTGGGTTTAGCAACATTCCAAATAACACTGGTGTTAGCTGATAGGGAAAGAGCTTGTACCAACCATACTGCTGACGTTTATATAGCAAAATCACTTTAAAAATCCGATCATCTATTTCATATTTTATGTTGCTTTTCACTGAATTTTTGTTCATTGGCTTCAAGTTGTGTAAGTTTCATCTAAGAGTAAATTGACTTATTTGCTGTCCAATATTTCAGTTTTTGTAAGTCATTTGAATATCTTCATAAAAATAAAAAATAAAATAAAATAAAAATAAATAAATAGATGAAAACTTGGAAACATCATATATTCATAGATCTCCTACTAGTATACGATTCACAAAAAAATTAATACAAGAAAAAAAAAAATTATCACAATATGTTTGTTGCATTTTATGAATCTTAACACTATTTCACTATCATATTTTTGTACTGATGACATTTGCTTTTCATACATGTATGATGTAAATTTAGTTTAGATTTGAATAGTTATTCTAACTATTCTTCAGGGAAATGTACAAACATTCAAAGCCTTTTTACACACAGATATCTTAACAACATGAATATTAAAATACTTCATAAAAACTTTATAAAGTGATTAAAAGAGGAAAAGGTCCATGGAATAAACCGTACATCTTAGGGAAAACAATGAGTTTTAATTTAGAATGGGATAATTTAACCAAGAAACACAGGCATATTTTATATAGCACATCATATCTTAAAATGAAAAATTTTATGAAATTTGGAGGGAGCAGAAAAAAAACCATCAGCTGCACTTAGATAAATTCTAATGCTGAACTATGTGGTAGAAAATACCGTCTTCAGATAATCATATTAAACCACAGTGACCAGAAATTCAGACGCTTGAGATATTTTGGGGTCTCTATGCATGTAACACAAGACTCAGTGAAATAATCTAAACATTGCAATAAAAAATGAGGAAATAAATTGATATTTCAGCCATATCTGAATGCAGCTTATGTGTTGAAAATACAGGAATGTTATCACAAACCAGAAACAAGTGAAAGGGGTGGGGATGGGGGTGGGGGAAGGGAGACTGGTCGGGCTCCTTGTACCTGTAGAGGATAAGTGAAGTTTATCCTGCTTTCGTATGCTGTGTATGAGGCAGTCCACCACCGTGACACCAGCACCTGCGCGACCACTCTGTACACCTGCCGCACTGTCCCAGCTTTAACAAACAACACATTGGAATATGATACTACAGCAGGCCTCCTCACATTAAATCTTATATCTTAACGATACAGCTGCACTGATATTCTGAAAAGTTCTAACATGTCATTGCACTAGAGGGGACTTTGCTTCCTGCTGTTTATTAAATGGAAGTTAATCAGTTGGCTGTGTTGAGTGTGGGGGCTTAGTTAAATTTTATTAAATTAGTTAATATCAATTTCCTTTTGTACTCTATTCTGTAGCATAAAGGCTACGAAGTTGTCAATCTTTAAAAACATATCAAAACAACTGTATTCCCTAGATACAATTCTCAATGTAAAAAGGCCTTTTACAATACTAATTTTAACTATAAATAGTACATTAACAATTAGCACTATAACATGAATAAAGCATATTGTACTGTCGTAATCCATACTATCATCATGGCAATTCATATTGAATCATATATAAGACTAATGAGTACACCTGAGATTAGAGAAAATAATTAGAGAATCATATCCCATCACTTGTTAAAGGCAGAGAAAAGGAGAAATGAAATATAACAAATTTACATTCAGAGTGCATGTATTCCAATCAATGTTTTACCACTGTTAATTATTTAATCTAGACAAAGCTATTATTTTTATACAGTAATGGAAATTGACATGTATGCCTTGGCTGAATGTATTATATATTCTGTCAATGCATTTAGGGTTGGGGGAAATAAATATCAATCTAGACCATCAATATCAGTTACTGAAACGCTCTGTGCCTCTCGGTTTCTTGTAGCACCATATCTGGTTTGAATAAAGAGCTACTCAACGGCATATAAGATGGAATAAACAATTGAAAGAAGATCACAAGTCTTAGGCCCTATTCAGAATAGGGGACTAACTAGTCTGAGGGTCAAATATGGCAACCCACTACAAAGCTTCCCGTTTAATCTGCTAATAGACACTGAGTAGATATCTCATGGGAAAGTATTGAAGTGGGTTGGCCATATTTGACCCTTGGACCAGTTAGTCCCCTATTCTGAATGGGGCCTTAGAATCAAAACTAAACAGGATTATGTGACCCAGTGTACTCAACACTACTTAAAGAATACTCTACCTGTACATGTAAAAGGGGGTAATTTTCTTAAAAGTGGCCATTTCCAACACAAAAGAAGAGATTTAAGGAACATTGTTGGGACTCATGTATAATAATTTGGTCATACATGTGGATGTACTGGTTAAATTTGGATCTTTTGCTCAAAGTTATTCCCTTTAAGAACACCAACCAGAACCCTAATTTTTTTTTTTTTTTGCAATTAACATCACAAGAACCCCATCAGCAATTAAGCAGGACATACATAAAACAAGGACGAAGACACAGGATACTATTAGACAGAGACGGAAGAAGAAAAAGAACTAAGCACAGAGTTATTTGACTATTGTATAATTCATGAATTATGTTTGGAAGAGGAGAGTTAAAGAGGGGAACAAGAGCCTCCACATACAAGTTATAAGTTTTTTTTCTGGCACACATTGTGAGCTACAGCCTTAGTTTCTTGGCATTTCAGCTCTGCTGAGTTCTTTGCCTCAGAAGGTATGAGACAAAAAAAGCTCGCCACTTCATAATACACACAGAGCTGCTGGCTCAAATGTGTGCAAGATCAATGGCTCAGCTGGTAGCTCAGAGTGTGTGCTGGCCTATTTAGATTTCAGAGAAATACTAATACACTGACTAGTATATGCACCATCTTCTATCTATTTCTTAATAGTTAATTCATCCAGTTACATTAATTTATTATGTTGTCAACAAATATACACATGTACCTGTTTGAAATGGGATCAAAGGCTTCCACAGAATTCAAATAATTGGTTCCATCGTGACCGCCAACCGCATAAATCTTTCCACCAAGTGCAGCTACACCAACGCCACCTCGTGGCCGTGACATGACAGTTAAAACCTCCCACGTGTTGGTAACAGGGTCGTACCTTTCCACAGAGTCCTGGGGAGAGTTGTCGTCAAACCCTCCTGGAATTACAAAAGTGTGACATTATAGGACTTGCTATTCACTTGTTGACTTTTGATAATCAATAAACTGATGGCTGGGGTGTTAGATTAATTCACGTAATACTTGCAGAGAAAGTAGCAAATGATGCCAAAACATTACTGCAAATGTCACCCTTTTTCTTAGCAATGTTCAGTGATCATTGTTAAATGACCTAAAATCTTTTCAGTTTTGCTTCAGACATAAAAAATTGACATATGGTACAAAAATGAACTTAGTGTTCTTTATGTGACAAATAAATCATCATAAATTGCAATGACAAAAACCAAAACCAATTACACAATGATAATATCATACAGAATTATACAACTAGCAAATACTTCAATGGAAGAAAAAGACAAATATTATGGACATGTCATCCACATCAGCCTATTATACTAACCCACAACAAAGAGATATCCATCCAGGACTGCCACCCCTGCTCCTGCTCGTCTCTTCTTCATACTTGCCACAAATGTCCATCGGTTCACATGTGGGTCATAGCGCTCACATGTGTCCAGAGAAGTAGTGCCATCGTTCCCACCTACGGCATACAGCATGTTCTGAAAAACAAAATAATTATCATGTAGGTCACGTTTCTTATAAGATAACTGATGTATCTTGCCAATAATACATTTAAATACTTGTCAATAACATACATTTTTACTATTTTAAAAAGGGTTTCAATATGTAGGGAAAGCTAGGACAAAATTTCTCAGATTTACTTTTCAGGTATGGCAATCTCTTGCAAAACATCTTTACCTTAAGAGCACCTACACCAACACCACCTCTTGGAGTGTTCATCGGGGCAACAAAACTCCAGGAATCTGATTGGATATCATATCTTTCCACTTGATTAAAACAGGTAGAGTCATCAAGACCACCAACAACATATATTGGACCATTCAGGGAAGCCACTGCAATACCACGCCTGCACAAAAAAAAAAAAAAAAAAAAAAAAACTAATAATAATAATAATAATAATAATAATAATAAATAAAATAATAATAATTTAAAAATAAGAAGAAAAAAATATTTTCTTTAAATTAAGTAACACTTTAAACTTATTACTTTGATACAGAAGCATCTCATATGAAATATAATGAACTTTATTAAACATAATAATAATTAATATCAATACAGTATTATAATCTGCTTAGATATACTCTCTACAACTGACTTTGCTAATTCATTTGTTTATTTGTTCTAGACATATACTGAAGACACTTTTTTCTTTCACTGAAGATACTACATAATATGCATTTTATAGTCAAAATTGTAAGCAGCATTTACCTGTATGTTGCCATAGAAGCAATGGCTTTCCATTTATTAGTCACAGGGTCAAACACCTCACAGCTGTTCAGGTGTTCATTACCATCATGACCACCTATGCTGTACAGGAGACCTGAAAACCAGAACAGAAATAAATAAACAAGGCCAAATCATCTAATAAACGTTTTTTGACAAAAAAAAAAAAAAAAAAAAAAAAAAAAAAAAAAAAAAAAAAAAAAAAACGTCCAAAGAGATCATGCCCAGTGCAGTACTTGACCTGCATTCTTGGACACAAATTTGAATGAAAACAGCAACATTATTTAATTCCATTATTCATACCCTCCTTCCACAGACCCCACACCAACATGTCCAGCTACCCACCTTCCACAGACCCCACACCAACATGTCCAGCTACCCACCTTCCACAGACCCCACACCA